AGCCAGCCAGGCTGGCTGGGGAATTCTGGGAGTTGAAGTCCACATGTCTTAAAGAGGCTCAGCTTGACCCAGCTCAAATGAGTTTTTCCTCTCCTGTGCATTTATTAATTTACTGAATTTCTAGGCTGTCGCCATCTGCCACAACTCTGGGTCGCCTGCAAACTAAGCCATTTCATTCCATTCTTCCTCTCAGCATCACATTATTTCCCCACCCACCAAAAAAACCACAAGTGAAATAAAAGGGAAGGCACAGGATTTCCATCACGCCGTTAGGCCTGCCATCTTGACTTTTTTGACCCCCTCCCCCTCCCACGAACACCCCTTCCAAATCCTTTCCTTTTCCCATTCTTTTTGCATGGCTCAGCTTTGGATCCAGAATCACAAGCACAGGGAAATTCAAATGAGAACTAACCCACCCTTGCTCATACCGGGAGGATCCGGGAAGGGGGTCAAAAAAGTCAAGATGGTGGCCCCCACCCATTGATCAAACCCTTGCCCTTTTTTTTTACAGGCATGTATTTTTTTTTTACATTTTTAAATTAAAAACTATATGTTTACAATTTTTACATGTGTAAAAAAAGGGTGGGCCTTTGATCACAGAGCTCTGGCCGCCATCTTGACTTTTCTGACCCACTTGTAGATACCCCTGACCACCACCACCATATCCCCATTGCTCCCATATACTGGCAGACAAAACCAGTTGCAATTCCCACCGTTGGTATAAAGCAAACTGGGACCCAGATACACACCGCGACAGACAGAATGATGGGTCCCTGGATGAGCCACCAGTAAGGAGAACCTTGGTTCGCGTCCCAGCACCTGGACAGAGACCCATGATGGTTAATGCAAAGGAACAGAAACAGCCTTGCATTTTCCTCCCCTTCTCCCAGGTTTTATTCCATGCCGGTTTGTTTTCAGGCTGTTCTGAACGCACCAGCCTGCAGGTGGGACTTGCTGTTCACGTTCATGCCATTTTTACGGCATATCCTAGACTACCTCAGCAGAGCAGGACAGTAATTTGATTATCATCGCTACTACTGTTAGGTGGCTAGCTAGGAGCAAAGGAACTGCAAATGCCTATTTCAAAAAGTGCAGGGCTTTGGATGGGGGGGTGCCCACCATCTTGAATTTTTTTACGCTGCCCCCCCCCCAGCTTCAAATGTGACAAAATATAGAGCCTTGTTCCATGAGATGAAAAGTTAATTTGCACCATTAATTTCCATGCCCACCCTTAGTTTGCCTCAGGAATGATTGTCTAATTCCAGCCTTTGCAATTTGGGATTCTCCTGAGTTAAATCTAACACATCAGATCTCCTCCCTCCCTCCCTCCCTTCCTTCCTTCCTTCCTTCCTCCCTCCCTCTCTCTCCTTCCTTTCTCCCTTCCTCCCTTCCTCTCTCCCTCCTTCTTTCCTCCCTTCCTTCCTCTCTCTCTCCTTCCTTCCTCCTCCCTCCCTCCCTCCTTCCTTCCTCCCTCTCTCTCCTTCCTTCCTCCCTTCCTCCCTTCCTCTCTCCCTCCTTCTTTCCTCCCTTCCTCCCTTCCTTCCTCTCTCCCTCCTTCCTTCTCCCTCCCTCCCTTCCTTCCTTCCTTCCTTCCTTCCTTCC